GAGCTGCTTTTATTCATAACATCAACTTGTATGATCAAAAGATGTTGAGAATTCGCATTTTAAATTCTTTGAATAACCCTTAAAGTTAATAATTTACCCTGTGTGGCAGCTGTTGCTATTTTCTGCGACCAGAAAGGAAAGAATATCATCAGTGAAATTAGTCAAATGTTACGACAGACAGAGCAGAGACTTCTGAGGTGTATGTTATCCAGAGTGATCTGGGTTTATGGGAAACAAATGCTGTTGTGTGAGACGACATGTGGAAGGGCCTCACATGATGGCCTGCTGCGTATTCCTATCAAGCAGGAATATAGGCAGCTGTTGTTTTTCCCTGGAGAAATATTTCACAGCTATGTCAAAATTACCCAACGTGATCAGGTCAAATGTTGATTGTGTCAACACTGTTATGGCCTTAAAGAGCTATTCTTATATGCTGTATGAGAATTAGATCCAAAGTTTAAGCTTTCTCTGGTCTTTCTTATTGACAAAGGACTTCTGATGATGAGAATTCTTTGCATGTATGAGAGTTCAGAATCTATAATAAGTTGGTTCACTGTCAAAAATATTATTTTTTATTCACTAATGAGCACCTTTTAACAAGCACCTTGTCGAAATAAATTCATAAGCGTTATTTTATTTGTTGTATTTTCAACCTAAAAGGTACTTCCCTGAAGTTCAAAAGGATGGACTGACCAACCAGGTGAATAACCCTGAGGTGGGTGTTGACATCACCCGCCCAGACACCTTCATCCGCCAGCAGATCATGGCTCTGAGGGTGATGACCAACAAGTTGAAAAGTGCCTACAACGGCAATGATATCTACTTTCAAGACTCAAGTAAGCAGTTTGACGCTTTCCCCTTGCACACACGTGACAACTTGCGGCTTAAGGCAGGAAATTTATTTTTAGACTTGCCCACCCTGCTCTGGTTGGTCAAGTTCTTGCTTCAACTTGTCACTCATCTTGATAAGCTGTCCAGTTTGAAATACTACCTAACCTTCAGCATCAGTAAAGCCACACAAGGCCATGAAAGAGCAAATAACTAACACAGACAGCGTGCAATAAAAAAAATAAATCAATGCCACCAGCTGCAAGGCCTCTCTCAATTCTCTAATTTGTGCGCCCTCCACTCATCTCTCCTTTGTGTCTCTCCTCACCTCCTCCACTCGCATCTCTGGTGGGAGGGACTAAAATGTAAGGAGAGGAGGCAAGGAGAGGAATGGATATACAAATTGGGAAATGAGAAAAAAGGCCTATAGTCTTCATCAAGTGAAATGTTGATGAAGACAGTTATGGAACAATTTGGAGGCAGAACATTGGGTGTGCCATATTCTCCCTTCATGTAGCCATCACAGAAAATTGGGAAAGAAGGATTTGGTACAGAGTCACAGACTCCATTAACCTCCATTAACTTATTTTTTTAGCCACTTGGGGGCAGCAGAAACACGCAGTAAACAAAACACTAACATAATGTATCACATTTGAAGTTGACAGGGTAAGCTTATAAACAGTGGCTTATTTACAAAACCAGCAGATACAGAAGACTATTAGCAATACTATGGAATTTATGTCCACTTGATACATGTAAGTCCAGTATTTACTCTCTTTTTAGCTCTCTCTTTTGGGTCTCCACCAACTATCTGGCTGAATGCTCCACCATCTAGTAGTATACTGTATATCTATCTGAGTTTTGTAAAACCAAAACAATAAGCTAAAAGACACTAAAGCACTCCATAGAGCTGAAAGGAACAGAAGACGAGGTGATAATTCTGTGTTTATCATATGAACAACACTCACACGTAGCTATTTGATTCACTATTAATATAAAAAAAAATTTAATTATAGCTACAGCTCACAGCTGTAACTTTAATGTGTAACCGTTGCATATTGGTGCTTTAAAGCAACAGTTTAGGATCATTGTTGAGTAATGTTTTCAGTGATGTGCTCAGTCTGACTTGTGTTTTGTTATGGTGTTGCAGGCGATGAAGGCAGTGGCTCAGGCAGTGGCAGCGGCTGCACAGAGGTCTGCCCCACAGAAATGGACGGTGCTGCCACTGAAGCCCCAGTGGTGGAAGCCGACCGCAGTGGGCCTGTGGATAACTCTGCCTCGCTCCCTGCACCATCTGTAGCCCTGCCAACCATGCTGGCCCTCTCAGCCCTGGCACTCCACCGACAATGGAGATAATGCTGGAGGAACTGGCTAAACATGGACAGCAGGGTTTTTTTTTTTTCTTTTTTGCAGTTTTTGTATTCAGGCAGATTGGAGCTACAGTCAAGCAGACAGTATTCAGGCTGCCAGCCTCGAGGCTAGAAGAGTCTGCTCTGAAAAAAAGAGCAGTCATGCATCGTGATTTCCCACTTTCCCAAAGATCGTGCAGTGCCATCCTTAGACTTGATATTTTATGGCATCACTTCACCATCTCACACTGATGCCGACCCAACAAACTCTGCTTCAGAGATTTCTTGCACATATGGCAGGTATTAATGTAGGTCTCCATGTGGAAAAATATAACACGCACTTTGATTGTTTTGATTTTTTAATGCAAAAACCTGTTGGTGTGTTGAAAAACATTGAGAATGTGGTTATTTGATGCACCTAAAAGAGGCACAATAAGTTTAATATATGTTTAACACTATATTTTGAAACAAGTACAAAGCATATAGATCTAAATGATCTAAATTCAGGAACATGAGGTTTCTGCCTAAAATTTTAAGTGAATCCTTGTTCCACTGTCATTAAATCATGTGCCAATTATTGATTTTTGATTAATCAAAGTTGTTATAAATCCATACTGGTTTGAGATCAAATACAGGCACATGTTTCTTATGTTTCTCAATAATTTCAACTATTAAGTTTGGCAAGAGTGTAGGTTAAGTATATCATGGGTTGGTCCTGGATCTGCTCTGCTCTTAGTTATCCACTGAAACTGTTCAACAGCCACCTTGTGATAAAACCAACATTTTGTTAAAAGGGATAAGACTGACATTTTTATATACTCATTTGCCTTGCAACAAATGTATTATCTGCTAAATATTCTCATATCATGCTGGTTTCTCGGGCTTGGCTTGTGGAGTAGAAACCCTGGACCGATTTCATATGGAGCCACTATTGACACACAGAGAAGGTGCCACAAATATACAGTAATGCTACGCATTAACATAGTGATGTTGGTTCTGTAGTGTTGTGGGGTGCATATCCTGGTGTGTAGTCAATGAATTCATGTCCGAGAGGCCTAAACAAATTGAAATCCTCGCTAATATATGATTGCTCAGTAGTGTGTTTCCATCTAACCGCTTTATAGCATCAGTGACCTGCATACAAATCCGTACACAGCCAAATAGAGATACACAAATCAACTATTTATAGAAGATATTTGAATGGTTCTGCTAACATGAAGCCTTATAAAGACAAAGGGACACACTAATGAAAAATTATAACTGTATATGTGTAAACGGACATGCACATCTCACTAGGAAGCGCCCATTCAATACAGAATCACCATCACCAGTCTTGTGCTGCTGTACTCTTGCTGTAATTTACAGTATTTGGGGGCTATAAAGTTTTTTCTGCATCCTCAGAATAATCTACAAGTATTTCCACAAATATTAAACATTTTTAGAAGCTCCAGCAATTCTGGATTTGCATATACAGGAACAACACGAAGGCATATGTGATTGAATAGCCAAAGCTTATCCTGTAACTGCTTTCACAGTTTGGATAAAATAGTCGTAAAATAGTCGTCAAAATGTGCATTGCATTTGAAAAAGCTACAAAACTGAAATACTGACAGGTAAAAAGTTTAAATGTTGCTATTTTTTAAATTTCATTACCACAGTTATGTAAACGGTGAGAAAATTATTAAGAGAAGAAGTAGCAAACTGCACACAGTGGTTACTGGAAATGCAAAGAAAGGGTCCCTAAATTTATCTGTAAAGCTTGAATGGTTATGTCTGCAGCACAGACAGGCTTGAAGCCGACCACAGTCACCTGTGAAATGAGAATCTGTGGAGACTGGACAGGGCTGAATGCTTCAGTGAAGCTCCTCAGTAGAGCGTACTTACAGAGAATGTGAGAGGCCTGGCACTGCTGAGGGGGGCGGACAAAACCAGCCTGTATGTACGTCCACTGTTCTCTGAGAGCCCGTCAGCTCCATAACCACCAGGCCAGCTAAGCTTACATATCCAAGGAATTAACCAGTGTTATGCCCTTAGCAGTATATCAATGAATATTTGTTGAGCTTTTCATTATTACATTTACATCAGCGTTTACATACACATTGCAAGAACAAAAATATATAAAACATGTCAAATGTGTCAATTAAAAGGATTCTTTATTATGAACATTGATCTTACAGGATGCCCTTTTTATGTTTTGTAACATTTAACTTTTAATGGTAATATTTTTGCAATAAAATATTGAAAATGGATGTCTGGTCAGACAAATTATCTGAAAAATAGAATTAGCAGAAAACACTATAAAGTCAACATTTTTTACAATCAATGCATTGCTGTATGAAGTTAAATTTGAAACTAGGAGAGGTGAAGAACTAGTAGAGTGAATATGCCTTATTGTTTTTCAGGTGCAATTAAGATGATTGCATTTGTGTTTTGTTACGGTTCTTGAGAATAAATATTTATTAAAAACATTCCAATAGATTTGTATTTGTGGTGACTCTTAGAAATTATAAAATATGTATAATCATGAAAGCCAGTGATAGAAATGGGGTCAAACTTTTGTAAGCACACAAAGGAGAATGTTACTAAACCAGTTAAAGTATACATTAATTTTGACTGGTCTCACTTGAAATGTTGTATTAAGTTACAATTAATATTTTCCAAAGGATACGATTCTCATCATTCTTGTCTTCTATGACATGAGATTTAAGTAAAATGTAAAAGTGTAGTTATTTTAGAGGATTAATATTTTTCTCTTGCTTGACAGTAGGGCCCCAGATTGGTTCTCTTAGGTATATATTAGTGCATTCAGAACAACAGGTGAAGCTATGCTTCCTCTGTGTACTTTCTATTTGTGAAGTCTGCTTTTATCAGAGGTTCAAAACCTCTGTTTCTCCGTTGACGCAGGTAGAGCACAAAGATAAGGAGTAGCACCAGGAGACCGATGAAGATTCCCCCCAGAGTGGATCCCAGCACAAACACAGCTGGACTTCCATCTGCGTCTGTAAAGATGAAGTAAAGGCAGAGATATTCATAAAAAACATACACACATTAATTACATACATTAGTAATTATGTTAAAATAAGATGTTTAAAATGTCTGCTCCGATATAACAAAGAGGGATTTGATGAGGCTGTGAATCAACATCAGTGACTTAACGTTACTCAGCTATTAAATTATACTAATTCGAAACTAACTCTCTTACTGTGCTATTTCAAAACATTGACTTGCCAACAATACAGAACTGTACCTCTAGCAAGCATATATTCTAAAAAAAATACACTTTATCAGTGCCAGACTCATGTAAAAAGACAGAACTTTAAAAACAAACAAACTTCAGAGATTACCGTATGCCCTAGTTCACTATTTTCCTACTGTTATTAAATAAAACTAAGGAAATAAAAAATGTTAATCAGTCAACTATAGAGGTGCTAGAAGGTTGACTATTTTACGTTTGGACAGACCGAGGCTAGCAGTTTCACGGCTGTTTCCAGTCTTCATGCTAAGCTAAGCTAACCGGCTGCTGGCTGTAGCCTTATATCTAACGTACAGATATGAGAGTGGATTTGATCTTCTCATCCAACTCTCAGCAATAATCAGCAAATAAGAATATTTATCAAAATGTCAAACTAATTCTTTGAACGCATTCTCTTTAACACTTGCTCACCATCCAGGGCAGCCGCATAGGAATATCCCAGCTGCTCGGATGCAACATATATCTCCTCATTAGTGATCGGAGGGAAGAAGGGAACCATGTTGTAGTCTCTGTTGTGACCAATGGGGGCCATCTCATCTGGGTAGGTGGCGTTGGATGGAGCAAATCTTTTCATCCACTCGTCAAAAATGGCATCAGTGAAAGCGTGGAGCACCTGCAAGACAAACAACCAGAAACACCACAGTGATTTTTAATGACAACAACAATGTTGTTTCAGAGTAAACCATGAAATCAGATTCTGACCAGAAAGATGGGGTCGTTGGCTGCCGCGTGAGACAAAGAGCTGGTTCCATTGAGCATGGAGTGGACGAGGTTGTGGAGGTTATTGACTGATTCATCAAGTTCTCCATCTGGCTTTTCGTACCCTTCGAGAGCATTTCTGTTTAAAAGCAAAAAGTATGTTAAACAGTAGTTTGGCAAACTGGCATGTAGACAATTGCTGTCAGAGTGAAATAACAGGTATACATTTAAAATTATAGTTGTACCTAAAACTGAAGGAGGAGTTGGTGAAGTATGGAGGGCTGTCAAAGTCTCTGATCCCAAGGCAGCTTCTGACGTCATTCATGGTGGGCAAAGACCTGTTACCTCTCTCCATTATCCCTCTCTGAATGGAGCCCTCATTAGTGCCGTTACAAAGAGTCACCAAGCGATTGTAGTCATCCAGACTGGAGGAGAAAACAATTTAAACATTGAAATGTTTTCTAGCATTCAAAACGTATATTCATTTGTCACACAGTGTTTATTTCATCACAATCCAACCAATAATTATTGAGTCTTTTTCCTTAGTTTGTGCTGACCTGTTACATACCACCCCCCATCTGGAGAATCTGGACTGGTTACTGATGAGGGATGGGTTGTCTGGGTTTCGGCCTCCCAGCAGGGAGTCGGTACATACATCACACTCACTCTGTCCTGTGGCAAAGTTCCAGTAAGGGATCCCAAAGTTCTCATTGCCAGTCAATCTCTGCAGGGAACAGACCGATTTTATTGATACTAGTTTACATTAGTATTACAAATGTTAATGTGGGGCTTTTGACATGCAAAATACAAGTGCTGTTTGCTATGCTGTAACTGTGACTTCCTTAGTCTAGGATCTACATTATATATCCTTTATTTCTCTTTCCTGACCCTGTCCTGTCTCTGTCTTCTATTTTTCTATTTTTTTTTAACCAATTCTCTGTGTATTAAAAAATCATTCAAGAGTTATAAATATTATATAATAACTTTTTTGTTCTTGGAAGCACAGAGTGTGACACTGAAAAAGTATTGAGTGTGATACAAATAAAATGTCTTTAAGGTAGGTTATCTGCTCCTTTGGGCAGAGTGATTCACTCCAGCAATATGATATCAGAGTCTCCGGTATTTGTTTGTGCCTTTAACAATGTATTCACCAAACTGTCAATGACTATTATACTGGATGGATAATTGTGAAAAAAAAATGGAATTAAATAACTTCTAGATACTGATTTACAAAAAAATTTAATAAACAAAAAGCCCAATGTTAAAGTTTAAAGGTTTAAATTACTAAGAAAAAAGCAAATATAATAGATAAGTTGATAACATAATTAAAAGCTGACACACTTACTTATTCACAGCCGTTTGGTTTCATCAAAAATTACTGATCCCATCCACAAATACAGTTTGAACAACATATTTTCAGAAGATTACACATACCTGTAGCTCTCTTTCCAAGCTGAGGAGGTGATACCTGTGCCAGGTAATGAATGCTGGTCCTTTGTGTGAGAAATCAATGGCTTTGAATGGACGACCGGGACCTACAGGGAGACAAAGGGTTTGATGAGCTCTTCATGTGATCGACAAGGCACTAATGTATACATCACACAATTTGTATGTCAAATAAATATTAATATATGTACCAGTAAACAAATTACTTTTGATTTCTTTTGTAAAAGTTAAGTCACAGTCTAAATTATATATTTTTTAATATAGGGACTAACACTAGCCGATAAATAAATAAATCAATGTAGTAAATGTTTTCTGATGATGTTCAAGGAATGATTACTTCCATAATGTTGAACACAGTAAAACAGAACACAACTAAGAATTGAAGAAAAATCTATTGAATCTATTAATTATAATGATTTAATAATTTAATAATTATAAATCTGATTATATTCATATATTCATCCCCGCTGCTCTAAGGAA